CCCCAAAACCCCAAAACCCCAAAACCCCAAAACCCCATTGTAATTTTTATGATGTTCAAGCTAAGAATAAAAAGAACTTTTTAAAATATATCAAATGACTTTTAGGGCATGACAATTTAAATCATAAATCATTCTTAGTAACCATCATTACAACCTCGGGCTTAAGTATCTGGAAAAGATTTGAAAATCTAGGTTCTTTAAGTTCAGTAAATTTGTATTTTTTCAACATTTCTATCAAAAAAATACTCCCAGCATTCTCAATGAAATCAGCTCCTGGGCAAATCCTTTTACCAAATCCAAATGGTACATAGTTAAAAACACTTCTTTTCTTGCCATTTGGCTGTAAGTATAGATGACTATTATAGTTAAATCTCTCTGGTAAATATTCAAAAGGCCTTTACCAAATTGATTCATGATAATGTATAAAATCTATATCTACCATTACTACGTCTCCTTTCTTTATATTTATATCTCCAATCTGACCTTAATTTTGAATATAAATACCTGGAATATACGGATTAGGCGAATACATTCTTAATGACTCGAGAAAGCATTCTCTTGCAAACTCAATTTAATTCTCAAATTCACTATTTTTTATGTGAAACATTAGTTTTTGATATGCCTAAGAGTTTAGATGTAGTAGTTGTATTGCATTGATGATACTTGAAACTGTGTTATCTAGTGCACCAACCAAAAGTAGCATTAACTCATCAGCAACTTGAATATCAGTTAGTTCTTTATGCATCGATAAATTTCTTACAAAGCTGTAAGTAGTTTAATTATATTCTACTTTTTATGTCCTCAATTTGCTTATTTATTCTAGAAAATAATGTCTTATATTTTGAATATTGTATAGTTAATCTTTGGTGGCTAATCCAAATCCCTTTTGAGCTAAATATGGAAAGTACAAATTTAATTTGCTTTAGCCTTTAGTTATAAACTCCTTAAAGATAGCAAGAATACTTTCAGAAACTGATTTCTTTAAGATTTAGCCATTAATCATTTGATCTATATATACTTACGATAGGTCATCTTCATAAAAAGTTATGGATATTGCAGACTCCATTAACTTTGAAATTTCTGGCAGAACATTATAAATTTTATTAGTTTTCAAAGTTTGACTTTCAATGACTATTTGCATCTTCTGTCTGATTACTTCGTATAACTTAGTCCTGTCTTAAGAATACAGAGCCTGTGTAATAGCGGGCCTTATTTTTTTCCAATAATCAGTAGTTTTGGGAACAAAATTTGAAGTTTCGCCAAGAGGAAGAGTTAATGTCTACATCATCGGGTCTTTGTCATATTTTACTTTATTTTGCTCGTAAAGCGTTTAAATGAAAGTTATATCTTTGACCAAGAGATGCACTTTGGTCCCTAGCAAAATTCCTACGTACTTGTGTTCTTTATCCTTGAAATCTTCATTTACAATTGTTCTTAAAGCTTAAGTATATGGATCTTTCAACGATAGCTGTTAAAGCCTATCAATGTGACCTGTTATAATGTTTTATCCCTGACAAAATCTGACTCCTTATTTTTCATAGAATCTTATTTTGAGATACTTCAAGATAATAAAGTAACAAATATAGACTATTGCAGCTACGATTGGTAGACTGACCAAATATATCATTCGCTTCTTAATAATTTTTAATAATATTAATCAGTTAAAGAGAAAATAATATCTCCATTTTACTTATTTTACAATAGTATTTAATGAATTATATTACTCTTCCAACTTTATTATTTACAAAGTTGATAGCTGGGGTTTTGGGGTTTTGGGGTTTTGGGG